GGTTTTATCCACACTGTCTTGATTTTTAAACAACTGCAAGAGCAGAAATTTTGTTCCCATGGAAGCTATTTTTTATTGCACTCCTAAACCTAAACTTAATTCCTCCAAGTGTATTTTGGACCACGGCCAGCACGTGCACGTGTTGTAGGAGTCTCCCAGCAAAATGTGAGCACCGAGTCCAGAGCCAGGGACTTCTGCAGGATAGGAGGGAAAAGGCAGCGGTACCAGCTGAGATATGGCAAATTGCATTGGTCTCTACCGGCACTGAGCAGAGTTATGGTAATTGGGCAGAAAAGCAATAGAAAGTAAAAAAGGAAAAGAGAGAATGAGAGAACCAGCTACTTTGATAGCCTTAATATCACAATCAGGAGAAACTTCCTGGATTCATATTTTCCATATAAACACTCTCCACTGGATAAAGTTAATGGTTCCCTGCCTGCAACACAGAAGGGCTTGATCAGTCCTATTGACGTCACAGATTGAGTATTTTAATGAAACGTGCCCTGCTTCCCCCATTTATATGTTTGACCCTAACCTCTACCAGATGTTCCACGCAGGCTCGGGCGCAGACAGCAGAGCTCTGTGTTTTGGAGGCGCTCAGAGGTCTCTGCTGGAGAGGAAATCAAATCCTCTGACATGAGCCCTGCTCTTCGCCTCGCTCCCCGCCGCAGGGAGGGCTCTGCTCCCTATGAAAGCAGGGCAGAGGCCTGCAGAGACACAGCCAAAATGGGGCCAAAACGGCTCATATTGTGCACACAGTCTGCTGGTGCCAAAGAGCGAAGCTTTCCCATGTTGCTGCACAGGGGGACGGCGGCTCTCCAGCAGTGAAGGGTTATTTCACATCTGAGGGTGCCAACCAGAGCCCGAAACACCAGTTTAGTGTTTGGCTCTGCTGTGTCTCCTTGGGTAAACTATTCCTTCTCGCGGCCTCATCTCCCAGTCTTGAACTGGGATGGTGCCCTTTGCCCAGTGACACACTGGGACAGGGCTGGGCTTGGGAGAGGACCCACGGCTGGGACCATCGTGAACCTCACACTTCACTGGTGCTGCTCCAGACACAGAACTGTCCCACCCAGGAACCCAATTCTAACATTTTAGCTCCAGAGCAGTTTATAGCTGAGCTTTGCCAAAAAAAAAAAAAAAAAAAAGAAAAAAGAAAAAAAAGGAAACCAGCTTGAAATCATCATTAAAAAAAGTACCTCACCTCCCAGCAGGGATTCAAAGACATGGAACAGACCCATCCCTCTGCTTCTGAGCTGGGAAAACGAGGCAGGAGCAGATCCGCCCGACGCCAGGGAAGAGCATCGCCCTCCAGCCCTGCTCATGCTCGGGGTGAAGCAGCAAAGCGGGGTCCAACAAAACCTGGGTGATGGCAGCACTCTAACCAGCTGCCATGAAAACCTTTCTGTCATTTAGAGGTCACTTAAAAACTCCTGCTCTTCCTCTCTGCAAGGAGAAGACGGAGCAAGAAAGGGTTAAAGTCAGGACCATGTTCTCAGCACTCCACTTTGGTTTGAGATCATTTGATTTCGGATAAATGAGAAGCTGGATGGAAGCCACCCTTTAGTTCTGGGTTTGGATTAGCAAATTGAAAGTCACTGATGAGGTTTTGCAAAACCAAACCCATATCCTTCTTGGCCCACTCCTAGCTGAAACTTAACTGACCCCAAGCAAAAATAAGTGAATCATTCCTTAAAACGCAGAAAAAAAACTGCTGAACAACCGCAAATTGAGAGAAGAAACACACGAAATTCTGCATAATGCACTCATTCCTCCTAGCCCAGGAAAGGCTAAACTTGCAAGGCTGGCACTTTCCAACAGTGCAAAGCTTGGCACTGTTTAATAAAAATATTTTTTCTTAGTCATTCCACACATACATACACACTGTCCTGTGGCCAGTTTGCATTTGCCTTTAATCAGGTGATGGGCAGCTGCAGGGTGGCAGCATGAGACCTGCTGGCTCTCCAGTTTGACATCAATTCTGCAAGCACAGGTATGAGGATTGAATTAAAACGAGGGAGAAGACACCCCTTGTGCTAGGAGAGCAGCATCTACCGCATGCACTTGGAGTGAAGGCTTCAGTCTCACAGGTTGCCCATTCCCACGTGTGTCCATCTAGGAATGCCGCTGTTTGCAGCTCTCCTGCCGTGGCCTCTGTCCACCCAACTTGGCTTCCAAAGCAAGCCGCTGCGTTAAGACCTCACCAGGAGGCTGCAAAACCGACCGCTTTGAGCCCAAACACGCGGGTGTCCTGGCCCCGTGCAGTCCCAGCAGCGCACGCAGCCTTCGCAGGTCCCCAAGGACTCCAAGTAGGCTCCAGCGCAGACAGTGCCACCCTGTCCTCACCTTCCCCGAGTCCCTCCCGCAGCCTCGGCTGCCTCCAAGCCCCATTGCGGGCTCAAGGCAGGCACAGCCTCTCCTCTGCCTCCTGCATTTGCAGCAAACAGCACTCAAGAGCAAACAGTTAAGAGCATTTTATAAGTGTGGGTGAGATGGGCAACAAGAGGGACCCGAGCAGAGCCAAACACCATCATCATGGGGACCAGGCTTGTGTGCTCAACCAGGCCATCTCCCTCATCATCCCCAAAGATGTATAGATTGCAAAGGACATTTTGCAGCCAATTCAGAGCCGCAGCCACACAACCCACAGGGTGTGATAAGCAGCACACACCTCAGTCCCCTCAAACACCCCTGCCCTGCACGTGAGATCCTTGAAGCCCCCTCAACTTTGTTTTCCTTTAGGTACTAGCAGGAAAAGGTCCCATTTCTCTTTCTTCATCAAACATCTCTCTTCAGTTTGGTTTTATTTGTGCTTGCTCAGGAAGCAGGGAAGCCTCTGTCCAGGTTTGCTGGATTAATCCTGGGAACGGCTTCCCAAAACCCGCTCCCACCCAAGCCCCACGAGACGCCTGAGCTGCAGACTCAGCCCTGTACAGACAAACACACGTTCTTGTCAACACAGCCCAAATGCAAAGCACCTTCTGAGGGATCCCAGCAACCTCCCATTCCCGGTTATGTACTTTGTTCCTTCATTAAAAAAAACACTGAAGTCAATAACCTGGGATGCCAAAAGTGCCAAGATCAGAAAGGAGATTTGGCGTCTCAGTCAAAGCTCCTCTTCCAGCAACCTTCCCCCTCTATGACTCGACTCTCAACGCGAAAGGAAATTGCCTCAAGTGAAGGAAAACAGAGCCAACGAGCCAAACAACATGATATTTTCTCTCTTCTGCTTTCCCAAGCGGGCACAGACCTCTGACAGCTTGGATGCACAGCTGGGGCTGGAGCTTTGCTGTCCCCGGCAGCTGTTGTGCAAAATCAGCCACCACCCCAAACAAAAATCCCAGTTGAGAGGAAAGTACAGCTAGTTATTAATAAAATTAATCATTGAAATAAAATATCTTAGAGGAAAACCCATTTAGCATGTTTTGGTCCAGATGAGGTGTGTCACTCTTGTTTGTATCCACAAAGGCACAAACATTCAAGATCTGCAGCCTCTGTGTAAACTTCTCATGCAAAAGCTTTGTAGAAAACAGAAATTTGGGGGGAAAAAAAGAGGGGTTGCTAGCACAGACAGAGTGGGGTTGGATATGGGGATTAAACCATGGTGTCCAGGGAGGAACTTAAGGATGGGTGGCCAAAGCCCATGGTGTATCCTGAGCGTGTAGACCCACAGACAGACCACAAAAGCAAAACGTTTGACCCCTCTGAACTCAGCTCTGACTCAGGCAAAAAGGAAGAAAAAAGGCAATTTGGGGATGGCTCTTGTGTTGGACCATGTCGGCGCTGACTTTAGGCCAAGGAAGCAGCATCTGGTGCATTCACTGGTCTTGGCTCCAGCTCATAAAGGCTCTTAAAAAGCCGCTTAGCTTCAAGTATGTGCTTAAGTGCTTTGCTGAATCGGTCCATTAGCGTGTCGACTTGTCTGGGAGCCTCCGTAGAAGCCAACTGCAGTCGCTGGGACCTGGCTGGATGCTCTCAGCAGCTCTCACATGGGACCACGAGGAGCTACCACCTCTCCTGGATGGGGTCTCACAGGCCTTGGGGATGGCAGAGCTGCTGCCTGAGCAGATGTGGAGTTTTGCTCGTTTTCTCTGGCCGTTTTGGTGATGCATTAAGGCAGTTTTTGTAATCAGCTCCATCTTGTCTTTGCAACTGCTCCGCACCATGTGGGAACTCTTGGCTGTGTGAAGCAGAACTCAGCATGTCCTGCCAGAAAGGACTTTAAATGCTTATAGTTTGAGATTGCTTTTCCTCCTAACCGAGGCTCTGAGCCTCAGTGATGCTTTTCCTTTAATTTAATTAGGGGAAGTTTCTTTTCCAAGGAATCCTGCAGAAAGCTCACATCAAAGGGCGGCGATGGCACCCCTGGATGCAGCGGATGTGATTCACGATGGCCCAGGGGCCGGGCTCCTTCTTGGCCCATTGCTGACTGCTTCAGCAGTTGCAGCACCCTGGTTGTCATCCAAGCTCTGAAATTGGGGAACAGCAGCATGAAGTCCAGAAATGGGTCAATGGGACCAAGCACTCATGCCATGCCCATGGTCCTTGTGCCAAAGCACCTACCAAGACACCCTCTTTGTGCAGCATCGGGGCATTTGAGCCCTACTCTTGCTTGAATCCCTACATTGCTCACACGCAACATAGCGCTAAGAGCAGCTGAATTTCTGGTGAACATCAAACTTAGGTGCAGTTTTCTCAGCTCATTAGGAGCCAGGCTCATAAGCCGGTTTCAAAGGAGCTTGCAGCCAAATGAAGTGCTGGGACAAGTTACTTATTTGAAAGCTGGTGTGTGGCACAAGATGGGAGGACTGGCCCACATGCCCCTTCTCTTCAGCTTGCCAAAAAGCAGCAAATATTTTTTCCTTCACTTTCTTTCCATGGAAGGTATAATTCAAATTCTCATGATGTTTGAAAGCTGAGCAAATCCATCCTTCCCCTGAATGACTTAGGTTTCCCCCAGGGGAGAGCAAGGAGAGATTTCATGGGGCTGGATTTGCAGAAGGAACCTCAGCTCCCTGCGTCCAGCGGTGCCACCAGCAGCAGGGCAAATGCAGCACCAAGGTTCCTAAGCTGGGGAGCAGGTCCAAGAGGTTCCTTCAGGAGACCTCTCGAGCAAGGCACTTCTGCTGACTGCAGGGGACCCAGGCGTCCGGCGATGCCCCCAGCTGCTCTGCACAGCTGGGCGCCACAGCCCACAGGCTGCACTGCCTTTTGCTGCCCTCAACGAGCCCGGCATCATCTCCATCCCCCTTTTTCAACTTACAAGTGACTAAGGTGCTTCCTGAACAGAGTTAGGGTTTTGTGTTTGATTTCTCCTTCTCCATTTCTTTTTCATCTCCTGTTGTGGACAGTTGTCCACAAACACAAACCTGCCATTGACACATAGATGCTCAGAAAACACCCAGAAACTCCTTCAGCTCAAGGGGCAGGACCAGCAACCCTCCTCAAAGCCCCCGAGCCCGGAGACTGAACAGACCCTAAGAACTGAATTCCACTAGAAAGGAGGGGCTGAATCCTGCACCAAGGGTCTGCACCAGGATCCCGGCCTGGACAAGAACATCTGAGCCCTTGAAACCTGCCCCAGTCCCAGGGGGAGCACCCGAACCCTGCATATCCCTGCCCAGAGCTTTTATTCCTCCATCCCATGTCCTTCTCAGGCAGCTTTAAGGACTGAAGAGGATGTGGAATGAAGGGAAACTCGTATGAGCTACTCAGTGCAAGCTGAGTTCACCTATGGAGCTGGGGAAGAATTAATGTGGCCACAGCCTCTTGTCCCAGCAGGGGAATTAGGGCAGACTGAGGAGCCTGGCAACACTGACATTGTATTTAAGGCTGACCAAAAAATTTGCTCGACAAATCCAAATATTTCATTGGAAATTTTGTGGCTTTAGGGTTTTTTTTTTTTTAATTACATGATTGAGGGAAATGCTGAAGCTGCTGTTTACACCACCCCCCATCCCAAAATGTGGCAACAGCTTCATTACGAAAAGGTTCAAGGGGAACATTGAAGTTATGTTTAAACCAAAAACTCTAAACAAAAACTTCAGTAAACACCACAAAGGTTCAGAAAACATCCTGGCGTGACCAGATCTGCAGGGTTTTTTTGCTGGGAAAAGCTGCATGGGAAACATTTGTCTGTGTTTATGGAGAGCTGGTGGGAACAGCACGCTCCAACCTTGGCTGGGGCCAGTCCAGGTTGGGGCTGTCCCTGAGACCTGGGTTTTCATCTCCATAGGGATGAGCTACCAAGATCCATAGAAAAAGGGTTTTCTCCTCTCATGGTACCCTGTTCCTGCCCAAACCCATGGGCTGCTCTATCCCTGCCAAGACCAGCCTGGTTGGATGAGCACTCATCCCTTCTCTGACCACAGGAAAGAGCCAGCACCAGCAGAATCATCCTGTATCCGGTGAATTCCCCGTATAAAATAATTCATCTTCAACAGAGCTCCTGCTTTTTACTGTTTAGTAGGACAGACAAAATAAAACAGTTGGGCTGCACCAGCACTCGAGCAGAGCCTTTTTGCCAGGACAAGCAGCTTCTCCGAGCGCACCCATCAAAGCTACCCTTCGTGCTTGCTGCTTCTACAGCAGATGGGACAAATAAAGATTCATAGCAAAAAGAGCTTGTAGACCTTGCACGAACACAGCAACGTCTGCAGGACAAGCCCATTCCAGCGGGGAGCAGGGTGTGCTGAGCTTTCCAGCCACATGCTGGGTAATGGGGAACAGACCCCAAGCTCTGGCTTACTAGCAACAACATACATTGAAATTACGTTCTCAGCATGCAAAGAGCTTGAGAACTTTGCCCCCCAGTTATGGGAACAGCAGGACTGTGTCCCTACTCACAGCTGAAACTTCTGCACAAAAAGGTTGTCATCTGCTAGAGCAAGTGAGGCAGAGCAGGTCGAGAGCATCTCTGGAGCCTCAAAGTCTCTTAAAGCAAAGCTGGACACAGCACCCATAGGAGGGACACGTGTGCCCTGAGCACAGCCTTAAGCTAGAGATGAGCCCGAGATGATAATGCTGCCCTTGGCAGCACCGTGATGGATTTCAGGAGTCACAGGGATGTTTCTTGTTCATGTATCATCCAGCTCCTCCATGGCGAGGTCGCTGAAGCCGGATTTGATTTATTAGCACGTTCATTAGAGCGGAGACTGTTTATACTGGACTTCAGGAAGAAAACCCTTAATGGCAGAGGCAGCTACTGTGGGCTGCGCCGTGCAGGGCCAGGTGGCTCTTCTCCACCAAAGCGGTGGTTTCTGGCACGTCCTTGAGCCGCACAAGCCTGGAGGCAGAAGAAAACATGGGATTCAGCAGCACGGAGCACCCAGGGGAAAGCTGTCCCAGGCTGTTAACAAGAAAATGAGGAGTTATAGGGATCTATGGCCCGGGGGCCAGGCTGCCCCCAGCCCACTCCTGCACATCCCCAAGCAGCCCTGTGTGCTCCTGCAGCTACAACAGCATCCCTGCTTATCTGCATCCTTCCTTCCAGCCTTTCAGAAAGCAGCTGTTTGCTGTAAACCCGCCTGCCCCAGCAAATAGGTTTCTCCATCCTTGCTGAGGACCCAGGACGCTGCTCGCAGCACAGCTTGCCAGGGAGCAGCAGCTCCCCTCATCAAACTGCCCTCCGCGCCGGGGCAAACAACCTGCCCACACAGCGGCAGCGATTCGCAGCATCCAGCCGCGTGTCTCGGGCAGGAAACAGCCGCCCTGCTGCCCACTCTCCCCACGCTCCCAGCGCCGAGCAGCGCAGGATCTGTGAGCATCGAGCAGCCTGGGGAGCAAGGGGCTCATTGTCATGGCACCAGGGAAAGGCCCATTCCAAACCGCCAGAGAGACCCGGGCTTTCGCCAAACCGCCAGAGAGATCCGGGCTTTCGGCAGGGCATTCCCGAGGGTGGAGCATGCTCCCATCCTTATCAGCCCGGCAGATCTTTCCCAGCACTGCCCTGGTGCCAGGGTGTCCCCGGGGCCGCGGGGCGCTCGCCTGGGCGGAGGGAGGATATTTACAGGGGCCGAGCGGAGCCGGCGCTTCCGCGCAGCCCCCGCGGACAATGCGCGCCGGGCGCCGGCCCCCAGCAGCCATTGATACGGGCCCAAGAATGGGAAAATATTGTGTTTAGATTTGTGATAGGCAAAGCAAAACAAGCAGGTTTCCCAAAGGGTTTTGCTCTTCCCTTCCCTGGTGTTTGTGTTCGCGAGGCTGGCGGAGCCGGGAACCTCCCTGCACGCGGTCGGCCCCATGGGGCAGGCGGCCCCCGGGCCAGCGCCGAGCTCCCTAGTCCCAGAGGGGATCATTGAGCTGAAGCCCTAGGGACCTGGAGCACAAAAATACATTTAATCAACCTAAGAGCAGGCAGAGTTCAACACCAAGACCACCACACAACCTGAGAAGCTGAGACAGTGCAAAGCCCAGCTCAAGAGCAGGCAGAGGAAACAGCAACATCCCCCAGCCTCATCCCCAAGAGCCAGACCTAACTTATTCCTGGGCAGGGGGAGCAGATGGGACTCCAGGCACAACCTTCTCAGTTTCACAGAACTGCTTAGGTCAGGTCTTATTTCTGCCCTAAGTTAGGCTTACACCTGCATACACACCTGGAACAGCAGTGGGATTTAACTCTCCCTGGGCTGATGGTTTGATCTTTGGACCAGGGCTCTGTTACTCATTACGCTGGGAACAGACCTTGAGTGAACGCACTGTGAAGGCCACCTTTTCCACATTTGCACCACTTTAATGAAAACCAGGATTTGGCTCCACATCTTAAGAGATAACGCCCTCTGTACTCATGGCCAACCCAGTAATGTCTTCCAGCACTAGGAAACCCTCTCCAAAACCTCAGTATGCCTCCCCTCACAGGTTATCCAGGGATCAAGGTCTTAATGTAGAAAATCTGTAAAACAGACTGGCTGTGCAAGATCTGCATTTAATGGCATAAGGATTTTCTTATCACCAGGCCTGCCTGTTTGGAAGAAAACCTCCATTTGATATCAATTGGCTTAAGAACATTCAACAAGGAGAGGCAGGAGGGGCAGACTCTATCAGTGGGACTTCAATTCTGTAAAAGGCATCAGCAGAGGTATCAGAGCAAACCAATATCAAACTCTGGTCCAGAGAAAGAGTATGAATTAGTGAGAACTGGGTTCCAACCAGCTGCATTTGAAGCCTGTACTCTACTTTCCTCCCCTCACCCTGTTAATTGACTGCAGGCCACCCAGGGTATTACCAAAGATGCATGACAGAAATCTAGTGTATATTTATGTTGGCTCATCTTGCTGTAATCTCCCTCAGGGTATGACCCAACTTTAATAACTCAGCCTTACCCTACGCCTTTCTGGCTTATTTCCTTGTGGGCTTTAACATATACAGTGCTTTTCAGTTTATTCCTACAGTTCTTTTGGAAAAAGAAGAGAGACGGACAGAAGCTGGCTACAAAAATTCATTAAAACCAGTCTTGGAGGCTTTGCTTACACATCCCATCACCAGGGACTCCTACGAGTGTTTATTGGCATGGGTCACTGACCGAGAGTTTCCCCGTGGCCAGTTCCCTTCTTTGGAGAACTGGAAGATGGGAGTGCCCAGCATCTGGTCCACCTTCCACATCCTGGGAACTGTGAGCATTTCCAAGGACAGGCCATTTATCATTTTGACCATTACCAGACTTCACAGAAAAAAAGCAGGAGTTGCAGTAAAGTCAGGTTATATTGTAGGAGGAAATCTGACTGCAAAAGCAAAACCAACATATCTAACAGCTTCAGCTTTCCCAGTGGCTTGCAATCTCTTGCTTTTATTGTTGCTTCCATATTTCTGGTGTTTCTAACCCAAATCTTCAGGTGATATTATTGTCATGCTGCTAGGATGAGCTCAGGAAAAAAGTATCTGATTTTATAAAGTTTTAGATTTGCTATACAGGGATAAGGAGCACCAAAATCTTCAGAAACTGGGTTATTTGGGACACAAAGCAGACATTGTTAGGGAAAGTCAAAAAAATTGTCTTCACCTCAACATCCACAACTGTAAAGTAAGAAAAAAAATCAGCTCCTGAACCAGCTGCACAAATTCACCAAGTTTTGGGATGCTTCTGCTCAACTTCTTCATTGCAAGGGAGAAAAAAAAGATCTTGGATGGCACTGAAGGAAGAAACTACTGCAAAGCCTGAGGGTTTAGAAGTGAACTTTAGGAAGAAAAGGAGCAGAATCCAGACCTCTGTGCTGCACGTGATGTCCTGGCAAGGCACTCCATCACAAACTGGGAGCACCAAGAGGCCCGGGAGTCACATTGCATCAGTTGGAGAAGTCTCACATTTCGGAAGCGGAAGAGTCATAATAGCTGAGTACGAACCGTGCTCAAAGACCTCACAGAACCTCAAGGCTTCATCATATGGTTTAGAGAGATGAGACAAGAAAGATTTATTACCTTCTCCCCACAGTTTATTATGCATTGACATGATTCTTTCCAAATTTCAGTTTCCAATGACTGTTTTTAGTGCTGAAAATAGGAAGTGCAGAATGATGCCAGTTAGTTCTTTTGTGATTTGTTCTCAACTTTGCTTTTCAGCCATTGCCAAGTTGTTCTATATACAGTTATAAAATCTGATCTTTTTTTGTCCAGAATCAGAATTCTGTTCATTTTCAAGAAACTTCACAGTTCTATAAAAAAAACGAAGTAGAGTGACAAAGACCTGCCTGTTTCCTTTGAAATAGGAACAGATTGGGAAAGTAAAAAAAGCTACACCTAAAGCTACTGACTGTGGTTGTGTCACATAATCCCTCAAATTTACCAAGCTCAGTGTTAAAGGAAATTCCCAGTTTCTTTCCCACACTCCTGGAACTTAAATTCTCTCTTCTGATGACTAGGAGCCTTCTTCCAAATCTCGGGATTCCCAAGTATATTTATGGTCAGCTTACAGTCATTTGTTCTCATGCCAACATTGTCCAGTTTAAATAGCTCTTTTTCCTCCTTGATGCTTATTCCTCTGATGTGTTTATTATCCTCATGATATAGTTAAATGAGGATGGTTTATATTCAGAAAACAATGGGCAATATCTAGACATATTCTTTCTTAGTGACAGAAACTAAGTGCTTGTACCAAGCCACTCAAATGGAAAATATGGGATAAACTCAATGCTTGCTGCACCTGCTGGCCATCTCCAAGCAGGTAGCTTGGCAAAAACTGGCTGTTCAGAATAAATTCAGCTTACAAACAAAATAAGAATTGTTCAGTCACTATTAGCTTCTCTGAAAACAGGCACGGAGAAGAGTCAGAATTTTTATCAAGTTACCACTGATAAAAATGATGAAAATCTAATGGCTATCAAAATATCTGGTCAACAAAGCATCAACACTGCTTTAGCAGCTATACTGTCCATGGAAGTGGTCCATACAAATGTATGCTATAAGCATGCCTTGACTCAAACACCACTTAAAAATAAAACATTAGTTTTATATCTGGAAATCAGCCCCTACTCCTGAAGATGAGATTGGGGCTTGGCAGAGTGACGTTATAAAGTGTAACGGCTGGCTATTCAATGTTCAAACAATATTCAGGCTCCAAGACACAATTTTACTAATGTAATGGCATTTCAGCAGGGCAGAAAAGGGCATGTCATCCTGGCAAGAATTAGGATATAAGCATAATGAAAGGTGGCTAAAAAAAAGTCACACAGGTCTGGATATTGACTCCGATCACCTCAAGATGTGAGGATGCTCCTTCCTGAATGTTTTTGCTCAAGCTGAAATTGGAGAGAATTTAGCTTGGCACGGTCATGCTTGGTGCCTTTTGCAGAGATCCTATTGTTCTGCAGCATAATGGGGAAGAGTTTTCTATAGTCCCAGTGGGACTGTATCAAAATCGACATGAGTAATGAAAAGCGTGCTGTGTAATGTGGCTGCCTGCTCTTCACACTGACTCCAGCCAAGAAACACTAAGTTATTCACATTTACTCCCAGTGAACTGGAAAGCCTTTTTATTGAGGCACCACATAAAATTTCAGCTGCCCAAACCAGCCTCATTCTTATTCAGGTCAGCACATTTGACTTCTCTTGCTTGTGTGGTTCCCAGGACAGTTCAGGCCTGTAGGAGCTTCAAGGAGTCATTTTTCCACAACACTGATATCTGGTAGGATGTTGATTTTAGGCAACGTTTTTCTTTAGACATTCAATCAATATCCAACGGGCCAGTCTGGAAAGCAAGCTGGGCAAAGACACAGTATTCTTTAAGTTCTGAATTCTTATCTGTATCCTTCCTCACCTTCGGCATCTTCTAAAGTCCACACACCAAGCTGGAGT